ATCCCGAGAAAATGGCAATTGCGTACATTTCAAAGACATCTGGCCTTTAAATTTTCCGAGTAAGGCATCAGTTCAGAACAACAATTTTCAGTCTCATATTTCCTAGTTTCCACTTTAGAATTTTATTCTTCTGCGATGAATATCTAGTATTTAATGATTTGATATGATATGATATGATTTGAAATGAATTCTCGAGAAGTCGACACAACCTGGACCGATAAACACGGCGAGTACTAATTACGGAGACAAGTCGCCACTTCCTTAATTTTTGTTTTCTCTTGGGACTTGTCTCATGAGCAGGATCGTCAAGGCACTCGTAAATTGAGTGAAGAAGGAAATGTCTTTAGCCACGGGTGGGCCCGTTATGGCCCGGACCAAACGAAAACAGCCCCTGGACATTCCACCTCAACATTCTTGGCTCTACCAGGATGACAGCTATCCTCTTTTACGACTACCGAGCTTTTTATCTTTATTTCATTCTGTTTGCTCCTCTTAGAATCAATGACTGACTGTAGAGAAGTCATTCAAATCGTTGAAGGACTTTCTTTCAAGACCTTTCTAACGGATCTCTCTATTTCTAGAATTTTTAACAATTAAACCGCTCCTCATTCATTTTTCTATCCGAAAGGTCATGATCCTGTGGATATTATCACGAAATTCAATCATCCGGAACTAGTTTCATTTTTAGTAATTACGTGACTGCAACATTTCAGGATTTTCTGCACGTTTTATTTATTAATATAGTGTTTTGACTTTCCTCCCCCGAATGTCCACTAGAGAAAATCAAATATTTGTGGTGCGCGTATGTAATGACGAGTACATACAAAAATTCGCGTGTGTAAAGTTAAAAAAAAATATTTGGATTAATTATTGGTACTGACCACAAGTCCTTTTTATACTTAAATCGATTTTTTAAATGTCGACTCACTTCGAAGTTTGTCACAGAATAAAATATTTTCTCTACTATGAGACTTCACCATCACCATAAATTAATAATCGCTCATATGTCTTACCATTAATTACGAAAAATTCCTCGGATTGATCTGAAATTCATGTCAAATTAATGAATATGTAACGAACTGGTTTTCATTTCGATATTTTTGTAAAACGTAATCACCTTGCGGTATCGGTATTCGGGTTTAAGTTGGAGAATTAAAAATTCGTGGTACTTAAAGTGTCACCATTCATCTAGGGGTCGAAGTACTGATCAATGAGATGGACGAAATCGTTGAATTAATTGCTGAATGTTAATGAGAGATATTCTTGGCTAGTTCGGGGGCATTAAAAGTTTCAGAGGGCATTGGTCAAGTGGTCATTGCGTCAGTGAACGAGTTTGTCTAATCATATGAGTTTTGATGGCCATGAGATGGTCCAGACGACTAAGAATTTCTCTAATTAACTTCTTATTCACATATTTAAAATTATGTGGATCGTTGATTTAATTCTCAACCGGTATTTTTCACGGTTTCGCTTGTATAATCATCACCTTCACGCATGTTTAATCGAGACTGATGGGGTTCGACAATTTTTTGATCGTATCATACCTAACTCATCGAAATTCGCGGCCAATTTTCTCCTGGTGTCTCGTTTAATTCCTCCCAATATATAGAACACATATCAGTATCGCCTACCCATGATTAAAGTGCAATTAAAATAATTAAAAATTAATTCCTCATCTCCGATGGAATTTAACAACTCAAACTAACGTCCAAAGTGAAATACTTTTTTTCTTATCTTTAAAGTGTTTTTATGGTCATTGAATAGACATTTTTGAGATACCGAAAAAAAATAAATTAACCGGAGTGTCGGACCCTGGAATATCTTAATTTTTCGGTGTATTCTCCGATAATCAGAATTTAACAGCCCAAGAGGCCATTTTATATGTCTTTTGCAAGCCAGAGCGATCTTCTAAATCTTCTAAATTTAAGAAAGAAGATTTTGCGGCGATAAGTAGAAATGCGTAATATATAATTGAAAAATTATTAACACTGAATTTTTGTTGATAAATATTTGAAGGGGAACATAAATGAGAGAAAACGAAGAAGACGTAGACAATTGGTCAAGTGAAATTGAAATGGATTATCAAGACGATCTAGACCTAGACGAATCCCCAGTTGATTAACTTATCGACAACATTTAATAATTTCTAAATGAATTAACGCTCCAACGACATAATTATCACCCAGAATCATTAAGTTTATGCTCGTCAAAGGAGTTACGACTTGAATGGTATGGATTGATCTTAAGGGATTAGCTGATATGCTCGAATCCTCACATGCACTAAAAGTCACAGTTGTCTCTTCGCGTGCCAGCCATTATTTTTTAATAAAAATCCAAAGAGAGTCATCTTCGAGGCGACATTCCTTGCTACTTAACGATCGGCAACTGCGAACGCGCACGAATCCTCGTTAAAATTAATTGATATAGGAAGTGTCAAGTAGATGAACACCGAGGAATCGTAGCCCTGAGTTGCCAGATGGCGGTTTTTTTAAACATTTTTTTTTTCATTTTATCCCGTCAATTAATCGATTAAATTCGATATCCGATTCATTGATATTTAATTCATTTAGGAAAGTAGACGCACGATTATGTAAATTCGTGAGTGATTGATAATAAATTATTTAAACAAACCCTCATTTTTTTATGTCAATCTGATTTATGGTTTTCCAGAAATTTACGAAAAAAGCATGAGAAGTGGAAAAAGAAAAAAGAAAATTTTTTGTGAATTATTTCAGATGTTTGCGATATCGCCGCGCAAATTTTCTTCGTCACTTCCGTACTCAACAATTTAACGATTTATGTGTCGACATTTTTATTGAATATTTTTCTTCACGTTGTAAAGGTGATTTTTGTGGCGGCGGTTATTGTGATTTTGTTAATGCACAAACGTCACCTGTTAGCAACAGGTGCACAGCGGAAAGAAAATCACGCAGTGTACGCACGAGGAAATAAGATGAGATGGAACAAAAGAGCATTAGAATAAAAATAAATAAAAATTGTCAAGTATGTGCATTCTTCAGAAGAAATCAGCCGAGGCTCACGATTTTTTATTGGCGACTCATCGGTTCATTCGGCTGATCAAATGCCTGATTTATTTTATTGGAGAAATCACCATAATGAGAGGCAACTGGTAAATAGTTCAATAGAGGAAATTGTAACTCCTTCGGGTAATTAGTGATTGAATAAATATAGAATTCATTAAAAAAGGCATTTTCGTCGCGGGATTTTTTTATCATTCATAATAATTTATTTTACTGATCGATTTTATACGTAATTCTAATACCATTTATTTTTTGGAAAGTTTTTTCTGGCACTCGGAAATTTTCCGATTGAAATCCGGAAAACTCGGGGACAGAGGAAGAAAGTCAATTGACTTTCTTTCTTGATTTTATTATTTTTTATCATAACGTCCCATAAAATTTTACTGGAGAATATTGATTAAGGAGATTATATTCTCACGTCTGGATTACGTCTCACGATGTAATTTTTACATTATTTCCTTGCTGAATTTCATTTTTTCCGGGGAATTGCTGCAATTGTTACACCCCATGAGAGAAAGTCACACATACATTTTTGAAATACAAGAAGAAATATTTTCTTGAGCGCGACCGGAACTCAGTTATGGGCATTAAATCATTAAAACAGGGGAAAAAATTCAATAAAAATTTCACGAAACTTCCGCAACTCGCAAGTCAAAATTAAGATCCGATAAAAATTACGGAATGTTCGATAAAAAATATGCAGTAATAACATATTTTTAACGAGACGTTGCGTATTTTGAGTGGACATTCCGTAATTTTCATCATTAAATTTAACAAAACCATGAATTAATTTAATAATGTATTAAAAATAATGAATAAATAATATTGTACGGTATAGATTCCAAACAATCAAAGAAAAATACAATTGTAAATATTATTTAGATAAAACAAATTGATATGTCCTGATAAGTGGATCATGAGAAATTTCAGAGGTAGTAAATATTGAAAGATTGGGATCAATAATAAAAATCCATTAACAATTTATCTTGGCCATCAATTTGTCGGTTCTGGGAGTTCCTAAAAGGACAAATGAGAGCCACAAGGGCCGCTCGTTAAATCCCGTTGCTCATAGGATCCTTAGCCTCATCGACGGGCGTCGTCCCGTGGAGGTGGAAAAAGTCGGCTCGTGCCGCCACGGATGGACGATCGCACCGCATAAGAACAAGGGTAAAACTTGGCGTTACAAAGAGCCCTGGGTAGGCCAAATAAAATTCCCTAGGTAATGACAAAGTGTAGACAGGATGAAGAAGCTGCGATTGCATGTGGACCGTTTTAACGCACGAACACGAATCGACGTCCCGTTCCACTCTTATTACGGCCAATGTAGTGCAATAAGCAATTCCTGCAGTATGGCATATACCCGGGATTTCCTTGTACGCCCCCAGGACAAATCACCGGATCTAGCGCAAAAATCCAGACCAATCCTCTCAACTATTCACGGACTTTTCAAATCTATCGAATTTCCAACGAAAAATTATATACCAGTATGGTGATGATTTTTTCTAATATATCCTAATATAAGAAGAAAAATGGAAATCGATCTCGAAATATCTCGAATGAGGGTATGATCTGTAAGACGAAACCGACCCCCCACCCCCACGACGTCGTAGCAAAACTTTGAAATGGCAATAAAATATCAAACCAATTTTGCCTGGGCAGCAGGGGGCGGTAGAAAAATTAATGAAAATTTAAAAAAAGTCAAAAAGTCATCAAATCGCGAAAATTTTGGAATTACGACACCTACTGCGTACTGGGGTAGCGGAATTTTGAAAATTCTAAAAATGAGAAAATAAACAACTAAAGTAAAACATGAAGGCTGTATTGAATATATGGTTGTCGATTTTATTGTTTATTTTATTTTTTTTTTTTCAATTTCGTTATTATGACAATTATGATTGCAATTTTTAATAGAATGCTGAGGGAAAAATGCTACTGCGGCTTCTGGTTATTTTGGGTGCCTTCCGATTTGCGTTCGCATCAGCCCAAGAGATTTCTGTTGTAAGACACGCCGATGGAGATATTTTTATGGTGGAAGGTAAGTCGATTGTGAATAATCGATAAGATTAACACCACAATAACACCTCGCAAATTAACCAAAGAGAAAAACTACCAGCTCGTCACGTTCTCTGATTACAAAATATCGCGATTGGTCTGAAAATAGAATTATAAAAATTCTTTCTGAGTATTGACGATTGTAACAGATATACCCATGAAAAGAGTTCAGCCGTTTTGATTCCAGGATAATTTACCCCAACGTTACAGACCTCGACCAGTTTTTCTAGATTTTCCTCCTCATAATTCAGTGCCATCATAAACCACAAACGTGGTTCGATGTACTTCTTAATAAATAGCTGTTGAAACCGGTAGAATCCCATTTAACTCTGTTATTTATGTATTACGAGACTGAAGATGACACCCTTGCGCGCCTCTGTAACTTGCAGAATCATCTTAAAAATTTAATTATTTCGGATTTCAATCCAATGAAATTTATTTATTGAAAACATGCCAAGAAAATTCCCATGCAAATCTATATCACCTAAAAAACATTACAAACTCAAACATTTTAGTTTATTCCCCTACATATACCCATTTTCCAATAATAACAATAACAATTTCAATAATTGTATAAATTTAAATAAAATAATCCAACTGAAATCAGTTTCAATAATTTCTCCCATTAAATGGTACACTTGAGATAACGAAATTCTTCACAATTACGAATGTAACAATTTTTTTTTCATTAAAGCCACGTCAGGCAGTCTCCTTTTGTAATCTTAATGAAGACATTTATGAAATTTTTATTATACCCACAGGGACCTGTGAAAAGGCGTGCATTCAAGTCAGCGGTGGTACAGCATCAGCTTATACACGTCAACAGTCCGTGGGATTAAACAGTAACAACGCCTCGTGCATCTGTCAATGCAAATCGAATATCCCAATATTTCGTGAAGATCTCAACATTTGCGTGAGCGATATTCACGGTGAGTAACACGCAAACCTTTTTTCCTATAATCCGATTCACGTCCTGGGGATGTCAATACGTCCGATTTAACGTGCGATTACCTTCATTTCACGGTTCGTGTAATTTTTATCAAATACATGCCGTGTCATTATGCAGGTAGAATTGAGTCTTCGTGGAAATATGTTTCCACAATTTGAACGTATTCATTAGTATCCAAATTTCAAACCATGGGAGAAATTTCAACAATTCTTTCAACACGCGATATTAAAGTGACCCAAAGCCGGTTATTCCTGATCGCTTAATTTTTTTTCTGTCTTCCCACTTTTTTAATTTTTTGTTTACCTTCTGCGCGGGCTTTGATCACAGAACAAAAAGGATAGGGAGGCGATGATGGAGAAAAATTGATTGAATAATAATTTCTGATCACGCGCTATTTTTTGGGGGAGAAGTGAGTGCGATCGGATAATAACTTGTGTAAACATGAGAATTTCATCGGCTCCGGTGGGTTATTAATCGGAAATCGATCAATAATATCAACAGCTAGAAGGGAAATATTTACATCAGTCATCAAGAGACACTGAATTATCATACTGGTGTCATTAAAACTCGAGATGGAAAAAGCTGACAAATTTTCAATTTGAGAAACTCAATCGCTCTCACTTACCTCGCTCTCACAGAGAGGAGGGAGAGAGATTCGATACTTTCTGAAAAATCGTCATCATTAGTCAACACTTTCGCCGATCGAAATTCCTTAATTTTCTCGTTCGAGGACTTTCGACAGCTCGACTCCATTTCCTTTGCATTTCATTCGATTTTCATTCAAATGAGTCCCCAGACGTTCTAAATAAATAAAATCTGCAAAAGACGACTCTATCACATGAGCACTTAATAAATACAAACTAATAAATAAAAACAACTCATTTTAATCATGACTTAAATAATTTATCTCCAGTTTGAAGATTCAGATATATATTCCGCAGAAGTTATTAATTATAACGGAAGTCGATACCCCATTTCTGCAAAGGCTACTGTTTTCCAAGAAAAATCGCAATCTCATGACTGATGTAAATCGCAATCAAGATCAATCTTCACAGCCAAAAGGGAATTAGAAGAATGAGGTATGAGCGTAATGACATTGGGTCGTGCGAAAACCATAAATAAACCGACTTGGTCATCAGGTGGATCATCACTCATCAATGCAATGAAACAGCAAATTCAAGTGCCGAGTGTGGAAGCCCAATGACATTAGCATGAACCTCCCAGGATCAGATGCACCTATTTATTCCTCCCGTGATCATAAACAAATACTGACACATTGATGGACAATTCAATATTCCATTTCAGATGATTCATCCAGATAAAATCCAGATAAACATGTCCGAAATATTAACGGGAAATTATTTTGATGCTTTAAATAATGAGCATGCCCAGAATACAAATAAATTATAAATTATACACTCAATCCTATAATAAATTTAATTAGTGAAATAAAAAAAATTTTTAATCTCATTTTAAATGCACCAAATTGGAAAATTCAAATTTACACAGGAATTATTATTGTTATTAGCATTATGATTGTTATTATTATTATTAATATATTTGAAGCGAATGACTTGGCGAATATTGAGAAACTTTTAACGTTGATAGTCATCTCGAGCGATAATTTATCCAATGGGGGAAAAAATATACTCTGAGAAATATACTCCGAAGTATATGGAATTTGCAGATATCTGATAAATTTAGTAGTGTGGGACTATATTTCGGGGCTTATTGACATTTTAAGGGTCGAAGATTACACTTAAATTTCAGACCTCACAGCTCTAAATGTTACTTAACAGTCCACGCTATCAGTCCAGAATGTAAATGAAGTTTCCGGCCCCCAAATGAGTATCAATGCAATTTCAAAAATATTCTGATACTGTAAAGAGTGGTGAAATCCTTCCTCTCTTTACGATAACATAAAAACTGTATTCGATAAGCGGAGAGATGAATCGCGAGAGAAAAAGTCACTTAAAATATCAAAAGAGTTCATTGAAGAGATTCGTGTCGGTGCAAAAGGAAATTTAAAAAATTGAAGAGAACTTGAATCGTGCGGGTTTGATGTACTGTGCCAATTATACAAACGCTTGGAGCTTTTTCATGAAGGAAAAAGGAGTAAAAAGTACCGCAATGCAGACAGGTGTCTCAGCAGGTCACCGTCACCACTGAATCTTGCGACCTGATGCAGCACTGGCCCCATTGGCTTCCCCTGAATTAATGGCACCAACTTTATCAGAAAAGTGGTTCCTCTCATTCCTCTCCAAAACCAGACATTCTCAGTTCCTCAACCCCAACTTTCTTGTTTAATTTATCAATTGGGAGGACATCCTGGGATCCAAGTCTACAGTGTCAAAGTTCAGGAGCACATGATTTTTATGATTTTTATGAGGCCAGAAAACATTTTGTCAATTGAATAAAAATTATATAAAAACAGGGAAAACGGCAAAAGTTACAGGTTCGTAAATCACGAGTTGTCCAATGGACTCGTAGACTCCGGGGATTGTGCGAATGGCCTTGGATAAGATTAACGATTCACATTCGACTTGCATTCATCTACCTGCTATCGCCTATGGCAAATAACAATTCACGGTCATTTTCGATACATAAATTACCGTTTGCCGATTACTTCTTTGTACATGTCTCCTTTAATACCTCATTGTTTGAGAAATAGAAGAAAGCAGTAGTAAGAGTGCACAGGGATTAGAAAGTGGTTGATACTTGTACAACTTCAGCTCCTCTGTTAAATTCCAAACAGGGAAACTCACGAGAGGGTATATTTCCACGGATTCCTCCAATATTTTTTTTACAATCCTTAAATGACTTACAGTTAAGCCCCATTGTTTCTGTATTCAAGTCGAACTCACTTCGGTATCTCGTTCCATGATTTACCGCTAGATTAGATAAGCAAAGTCACACTGCGCTGATTGCTGATTATTCACGAGTCATTGTTTGAATTTTTGTTTCTTCAGAGTGCAGTGTCGCTGGATTTCTGGGTACTTCTGGAGCTATTGAGAAAGTGCCGTACGTTTTTCTACCGCAATGTGGACAGATTGTTTACCCACAAGCGGAGATATTATTCCAAGGTATGTTATTCAATCAATCGGTCGTAATTGGAGATTCAAATTGATTATTATTCAGGGGTGAAGACACCGGTCTGTGGAATTGTTGGGGCTCAGCAGTTGGGAAAACCGGGCTGGTCGGAGTTGAGAAATTTATCGAGTCCGGAACCACCTTTTCGGCTATTTCGCGATGAGGGAAGGGCATTTCTCAGGTGGATTGGTGAAACTGATCTCAGGGAAGCTGCGGAGGGAAAAATTGTCGTTACCAGACTCACTTGCAGGGATGCTGATCCAAATGCTAGTTATCCTGGAGTTTTTGCACCGTGTGTGGCATTCAGAATTGCTGGCTCACCGTCGAAGAGCGGTAAAAAAATTTTCTTGATTACCTCCTTCAATATATTTTCTCAATTTGTCTTCAGTCCTTCAAATATATACCGTATACCCCCCAGACTTCTTTTTTTATAATAAAAAATTGAATTGAATTTCAGAATATTGGAAATATTAGTCGTTGTTGACGACTTCTAATTAATTTTCTTACCTTATCCTGCAGTTATCAGAGAAGTGTCATTTGCACCATCGACTCAAGGTGCCGGTGGTCTCTCGAGCTTCGAATACACGGCAATTGGGATATCCTCAGTACTCCTGGCGTTGATTTACGTCGTGAGTGTTTGCCTTTACCTTCACAGTCAGAAGTCTCGTCGAAAGAAACTCCAGGATCCGGAGATGGCGATTGCAACTGTTCGTGAGGGTCCAGGATTAGTGAAAAATAATCCTCTACTGGCGTCGAGACACTTTGAGAGCGACTCCAACAGTGTGAGAAGCGAGAGCGATCAAGGTGGGGACTTGAGTCCCAGTGACACTGATCCTGGATTTGAGAAAATCACCGCTGCTGTTATTCATCCTCAGGCTTTCGTCGAGCAGACGGACGGATTCTTCGGCTCGCCAATCATTGGTGAGAGAATTCCCGATGAGAATGTCAGGATTGTTGAGACCTTCGAGAGCACTCATGCGGTGGATAGTGCAATGTTGCCTGGAGTCCAGAGACGAAAATTATATTTCAATCCTGCGTACTTTGACCGACAATTCCTTCTGGTAAGTAATTCAATCAATTTGGATCAATTTCAATGACGAATTATGATACCGGCGCGTAAAAAGCTCTTCAAAGATTTTTCATCTGAAATTGCTGGTGGACGAATTGAGTGGAAAAAATGATGAATTATTTTTTTAGGCTCCTCCACCGGCAGCCATCGAGTTTCTGCTAAAAATTCGCGAAGTCATCTCCATTGCAAAGCACAAAATGTCAGCTAAACGTTTCGTTCCGTCGCTATCGGGAATTCCTGAGGAGGAATCATCATCCGAACGTTGTAGTTCTTCTGAGAACAAACGCGCAGGTTCAGTCCAGGGATCTGTAACGCGTTCCAAAAAATCCCAGAGATGCACAGGTTGCCCTGGCTGCACAGATTCTCGTCCCAATCCTCCAATTCTCCCAGACAACTCTCGTTCGATTCCCGGTGAGAGCAGAGTAAGAGCATGGCTGGCAGATGTCAAGCCCCCAGAGCGTCGATGGAGAGACACCGAAGATCATCATAAAAATTTTCAGGAGAACGTCAGAACATTTGCAAGAAGTCTTGAGCATCTTCGAGAGCCAAGAAATGATTTCTTGAAATGTGAATCGAAAAACGGTGGAACCATTCCACTTGCCTCTTGGAAAGACAATCCCCCGATGCTGAGGACCTTCCAACATATTGCAAGAAGTGAAATCATGGGCGATGACGATCAACACAGCATATCAAAACGATCAACAAAGTCAATGTTCGAGGATACGAATTACGATCGCTTCTGTCGAACCAGAAGACGTCAACTCGAACTGTCAAACGGCCCAGAAGACTTTCTCAATGCCAAAGTCCGCAAAGCAATCGAGAATTCTTTCATAAAGCAAATGGAGGAGAATGCGGCTCTTGAGAATCAGATGTTGGAAAATAAGAGACACCCCGAGCAACGATTCTCGCCGGATGGAAGCTCGGAGAGGACCAGCAAAGAATCACTCACACCATCTGAAATAATAAAGAAATCTCCCGGGAGCACGATTAAACGGAAGAAGGCACAAGCACCTCCGATTCCCACGAAAGACCTTCCAGACATGATACCAGAACTAGCCACTTCAAAATTCCCAGTTAAAACCATCATGGATGCAGTGATAAAAGAGATGGTTGTCGTAAAAGCTCTAGAACATCATCACAGACTGACAGATTACGAGGTAGACAGCTTGGAGAGGACAAACCGTCGAAAACGCCAGAAGAAACAACAACCCAAGACTAACGAATCACCATTATCCACTCTTACCTCAAGTACAAACAATGAAATAAATAAATCACAAGTACCTGAAAATGAAACGAAGTGCATTGAAACAAACAATGAGGTACTCCGACGAAATTATTACAATGCCCTGCCAGAATTGATTTCCCAACGGCCCGAGGGCTATTCACTGGTTAGTGAAGTTTATGTTAATGATGGTTACGCAAGTCCAGCGAACAGTGATGATTCAGGTCCGGAAATAAGTTATGAGCCGGAGAATCCTGGACACTTAACGATAAAGGTGCAAGATTCACCGGAGAATTATGTTAAACAGGATGAGTCCGAGTACGAGCCGGATACACTCGACAGAAAGCCAATGAGATTAAAAATAAATGGCGATGTGATTTATGATAAAGAGCCAATGAATGAGTCTTATGTGGATTCGTTGGAGAGACCTGTACAAATTTTATTGAGAAGTAAAGGAAGTTTTAGAAATGTCACACCATCGGTTAGTCCCGATGGCTCGAAAGGGTACGGAAGTCTCCGAGAGATTTATGAAGCTAAACTCCATGGAAGTGTAGCAGATACGAATTTAGTCAGTAGTTATGGCTCTCTTGATGATAAATTTAAGGAGAACGGTACCTGGGGTTCATCCAAGTATTTGACGCCCGATCAGAGACAAGCGAGAAGACAGAGGAAGCAGAATCAACCGGATGTGGTACCACTGCCACCAGCGGGAGAGATCTATGAGATGTCCAAGTCTCTGGGGGATAACGAGTCAAAAAACGGGTGGGACAGGAGGTCAGCTGAAGCAGGTGCCCCTACGGCCCGCGGACGCTCTCCTGTCCGTCTTCAAAATCTCGTAGGGATGAAGACACTCGACAGGAAAATCTTGCCGGACTCCAGGAGACACCTGGAAAGCATTCAGAAACAATCCCTGAAGACGTTCAGGAATGCCCAGAATGGCAAGATTGAGGACAGTGGATATTTGTCCAGCACTGATAGTAATGGATCTCAGAGACAGGCTATCAAGTACGACTTTGGAAGTGTCTCGGAAACTGATGAGACAGAATCGATCTGTGATGGTGCCAGTGAGAGTGGAGCAGAGAGTGTTGGCACTGATAGTGTGTTCTTTGGAAATATTAGAGGACTCTCTCATGGCGAGAGCTTCACCAAGAGCATGGACTCGGGGGTGGATATTGGTGTGAGGAACAATGGACTGAGATCTTTGGGGGTTGAGAGACAGGCGAGCTTCAATGCCAGTGATAGTGAGAATGAAAGTTTTGTCACTGTTCTACCGCATGGGGGGAGCAGGAGAAGTAGCTTGGTGCTTTAAAAAAAAACTAATTACAAACTAATTAATCAAATTATTTTACAAACTAGGCCCCAGACTTGCGCTAGCGCTGAAAATGAATAATTTGAATTGAATTGAAGAGTTAACTTATTTTTCCGCCATTTTAATTCTGAGAAAGGCGGCTCATAAAATGGCGGAAAACATCGGGTAACTCCTCAGATCTTCTGGGATCGTACGAGGTTCTACCGATAAAAATAGAGGCAACAATCGAGTAACTCCGCAATTATTCTGTTGTCCTGTTATAAAACTTCCATTTGATTAAAATTTTAACGAAATGCGCTCTAAACTTTTCGATTCAATTTTCTTCGAAATTTTAACAGGATCACAGAAGAATTAAAGAGGTGATTCTTACCGCCATTTAGATTAATAAGGCGAACGCTTCTTTTAAGGTAAAGTCGGAAGAGGTTGTAATTAATGTGCCAATCATCATTAAGCAGAAGTGGCTGATAGATTATTTTAATTAATGATTATTAGATTTTTATTTAACGTTTTATTTGCAGGTAGCAAATAAAACAAAAAGTTCGTTGGTCGGGTTTAGTTGTAGTATTTATAATTTTCTAGCGAATTCCGCTGGAAATCTGTTCCGGACTGCTTTCATTCATTTAATTGTAAATATTTATGCTTTGTTTATCTACTTGATATGTTGTATGTTTGAGATTTAATTTTTTAAAGTAGAATTTTTGTTCTGCGAGAACATGTGGCCGGTGGTGCAATACTAGATTTAAATTAATTCATTCAATCTCAATGGCTTCAATATACGACACGACTCTAGTCTAATTTCTTTATGGAATACCGTTAATACATTGGGTAAATAATAATCAAAATAAGTCGTGTGCAATTTTCAAATTTGATAATTAATTATAGAAGAAGAATAGGTCACAATGATATCTTGCCAAAAAGGTATTATTTAATGTCAATATTTTTTTATCTTCTTTAGTAATTTTTAGATGGAACCGTTTTTTAATTATTTAACATAGAGATTGTTTATTTATGTAATTATAACTTCCATTTTATTTATTTATTTCTTGGATGCATCCAAATTACGTGGTACGGATTCTGGTTTAGTCTAGACTGCAAAATTTGTTTTAATCTTACATTTATTATTTTGCTAGTTTCTACTATTTGTTTAGTTTATTATTACGTTTAATTTTATTTGACACTCAGCGCACGCTTGCAAGTACCTGCCAAATGTAAATCGATATAGTTACAATTTTTTATACATTTTTGTTAATATTTCGATTAAAATAGGATCCATACACAGTTTATTATTTATTGTAGTGCATATTCGTTGTTTATATTTATTATACTTCATTTAAATAGATTGAATTTGTGTTGATCTTGAATTTATCATAAGTGCTGGATTGAGAAATATCAAATTTATTGTATATTTCTCTCCTAACTTCTGGGGGTCTCGGTGAAGGTGGAATTGAATTTTGTAATTTTTTATGTGAAATATATCAAGTCATTTGCATTTCTATAATTTTTTATTAAATATATCATTATCGCAAACCCGAACAGCAACAAATTGATGAATCAACATACAAAAATATGAACACATGAATGCAAAATTTTATTTTAAAACACAGCCTCTCGCAAACTATTTTGCCTTTTTACACATCTACATTACAGCGGTTTTTCTTCATCATATGCTCAACCATGTTTTTGTACATGGTAACTTTATTATTCAACCGGTCATTTTTCTGTTTAAGTGACGAAATCTCCTTTCTCCTGCTCTCATAATAATTCAAGAATCGATGCCATGACGCGTCGTTTGCAAAATCGTCACGACGAAATACTTTGTTTTTACCTATACATCTTCGCTGGGCTGAAATGGTGCGTTCAGGCTCAGAATTCGATTTCCTTGAGAAAATATTCCAATATTATTAACGGATTAAGAAATATTGAAATAACTGACGGATAAATCGATCAGATAATTACCTTTTCAAGAACGCATCGGCTATAGTTTCTGAACATGTTACATTCGAAGCGTCTCGAAGCACTTGATTCCCATACAGATTTTTCAATAATTCCTCGTAATCAGAATTATCGTCTTGCTCAGAAGTTTCCCTGAATCCAATAAAAAATATATAAAAAATTGTATGTGATATTAAAAATTTCAAATCAGCTTATATTTATATTTCTCACCTCTCAACATCGGGATCGATTTTACAGGAATTTACATCCACAAACTCAATGCTATTATCATTTGTCTCAAGTGGTGTCCTGGAATGGGTAGCAAAAATATATTTCTACCATTTATCGTATGCATACAGGATAATTATCGATACAGCAGATAAAGAGTAAATGATTGCAACTCTCACTTTTTAGCATCATTGACATCAATTGACTCTTTACAATCATCCGGGCTTTCAGGATCGAATCCGTCATAGTCTGGACTTCCAGGATTAAATTCCTCGTATTGAACATGTTCCTCAGCAACACCGGATTTCTCATGTGCTATTTCTACCTCATTAACATAGACAGGGACTGATCCCTTTGCTTTTGGTTTGTCCATACAATAATAATTATGTTCATCGGCCACAGTGTCCCAATTAAATGCTTCGACCAATGCAGCACTGAAAATAATTTTTCATTGTCACATGCAGTGGACGTTTTCAGCTTAAAGTTATTTTGCAAATACCATCAGGACTGGCTTGGTTTATTCCCACTTTTGAAATACATACTGTTGACTTTTCTTTGTTGGCTTCCCCCGCAGAAATAATTCCACAAGCTCTCGACGTGGTACAGCATCAGGTTTCAATAAAGGTTTTACAGAAAATTGTCGATAATCCTCCGGTCTGAAATGATTACTGCAAACAAGAAGACGTTTCACATCTCCTTTTTGCAAGACATCCAACCATTTCTTCCTTATGTCTGCATTCTTAGGTAATCTGATAAATTAAATTACAGAGATGTTATTCCTCTCATCACCATTCTCCCTCGAAGACATAATCAATAATCGAACTGCATAAAGATGATAAGCGATTAGTCAATTAATTTTTGATTATCTAATTAAATTTGACGTGTTTGTTGGGGACTCAAATAACCTCCAACCTCTGATCCCCTTTCCTGGTGTTCTGTTGTCAGACAGAAATTTAAAATTCTAGTGAAATTAAAACCTCAAAAGTTACTCCATACAAACATATCCGGATAAATAAAAAAAATTAACATTCCACGAAAAGAGTTATAGAATTAATTTCATACCGATGAAAACAGAGATGTTGTGTAAGATATGATCTTTCAATCCCACACACGGAACAAGACATTTTGTCTGAGAAGAATTTTTACTTCGACTCGGTTCAAGGATTTTTTTTTTCAGAATCACGATTTTACGCCCTCCGACGTTGCGGTTGAAAAAGGAAGTTCAGTTTTCCCGTCATTCATGCCGATAACTCCGAGCAGAGAGCATTGACTAAAGTAGTCAGTTCTGGGGGTTGAGTGACCCCACCGGCATTGTAGTACTGCACCCCAAAAGAGGGAGGGCGCAACACGCAATGCTGGGGTGTCCATTAAGTTGACGGGGCGAATTTTATTTTCTGCGGTATGAATGCTTTTTGTTTTTTATTTGTTTAAGTGAAATTCAGCCGACTGTAGAACGAGCGGAAGGGGGAAGCCACATCTTATGGAATTTTAAATGGAAAAAATATCCAATATATTGAAGATATACTACTAATGAAATTACACTTTCATAATGAACGCGTTGTCTAATGGGCAACGTGCAAATAAATAAACAATTGTTAAAAAAAAAAAAAAATGGGCAACGTGCTTGGCTGGCACACGAACGGCTAGGGTTCGCTCCCGCCATCATTCATTTTTTTTTTCAAAATAATTCCAATTTTTCTTTTGTAAATGGCAAATTAATCGAAATATTGTTTAAAAGCTGAATAGCTCCTCGATTGTCATGTTTCCCTGATACTTTTTCAAAAATTTCGAATTTTTCACTTTCAGTGAACATTTCACTGAATAGCTCCTCGATATTCATATTCCCCTGATACTTTTTCAAAAATTTCGAATTTTTCACTTTCGGTAAAAATTTCAGTGAATAGCTCCTCGATTGTCATATTCCCCCGATATTTTTTCAAAAATTTCGAATTTTTCACTTTCAGTGAAAATTTCAGTGAATAGCTCTTCGATGTTCATGTTACCCTGATACTTTTTAAAAAATTTCGAATTTTTCACTTTCAGTGAAAATTTCAGTGAATAGCTCCTCGATGTTCATGTTACCCTGATACTTTTTCAAGAATTTCGAATTTTTCACTTTCAGTGAAAATTTCAGTGAATAGCTCCTCGATGTTCATGTTACCCTGATACTTTTTCAAACATTTCAAATTTTTCACTTTCAGTGAAAGTTTCGAATTTTTCACTTTCAGTGAAAATTTCAGTGAATAGCTCCTCGATGTTCATGTTCCCCTGATACTTTTTCAAAAATTTCGAATTTTTCAATATTAGCCATTGACAAAAGAAAAAATTGGAATTATTTTGAAAAAAAAAAATGAATGATGGCAGGATCGAACCCTAGCCGTCGGCGTGCCAGCCAAGCACGTTGGCATTTAGACAACGCACTCATTATAATAATATAATTTCATTAGGAGTATATGTTTTGAAAAAGAATTTTTTTAAACAATTCCGAATTTTTCAATTTCACTTGATATCTCCTCGTTTTTCAAATATTCAGTTTTTAAACGGTATTTCCATTGATTAGCCAGTTACAAAAAAAAAAATTGGAATTATTAAAAAATAAAAAAAATGAATAACGGCAGGGTCGAACCCTAGCCGTCGGCGTGCTAGCCAAGCACGTTACCATTTAGACAACGCACTCATTGCAGTAGTTAAATTTCATTAGTAGTATATCTTCCACATATTAAATCATATTTCCATTTTTTTTCTTTCCATTTTTTCCAAAATTTTTCTTCCAATGGAACGATGACGTTCCTCCCACAAAATATTGTTGTGATACTGAACAGTGAAAGGCCGGGGCAGTTGGCGATAAAAAACTACAATCAGCTAATTATATATACGATTATATATTACGCACAAATGACAAGTGATTATCAAAGCCCATTTTTACTTGTGGGAAATTAAGGTTAGAGTTATGATTTCGAGTTTTTACGAGAGAATTGTCGGTGGATCACCTCCACCTGAAGCAAATAAACAAAAAATTTTGTGCGCTGGTTTGGTGTGCCTCGATATTGTTCAAACAGTTCAAAGTTTTCCTGTTGAGGACTCAGACACTAGGTAAAAGATCAATACTCCCATTCGTCGGATGGACCAATTATTTGTTGACGATTTTTGTTTTTTCTGACAGGTGCTTAGACTACCGGTGGCAACTCGGGGGCAATTCAGCGAATAATTGTACTGTTCTATCTCTTCTTGGCAGTTCAACTGAATTTTTTGGAGTACTCGGAGAAGATTATCAATTTCGTTTTCTTCAGGATGACTTGCGAAAACACGGAATTGATTTCTCACATTGTCCCAAGGCTGACGGAATAGGGTGTCCCACGTCTACAGTCATTCTCAGTTCCAACTCTGGGTCACGAACTATTGTCCATTATAATCCAAATTTTCCAGAATTGAAACTGGAGGACTTTGAGAAATTAAATTTGGAGGATTACAGCTGGATTAATTTTGAGGTATATTCCACACATTCAGTGAAGTTTAAATATTTCTTATAATTGAAGTGAAACCTCTTTAGGCGCGTCATGGATTTGCAATGACCGAAGTAGAACCGATTAAAGATCATTTTTTTGTAATAATCTCCAGGGCAGAAATATCTCAAGAGTTCTTACAATGATGCAGCACGTAGAGACTTACAACGATTCCCTGAAGGAGGGAGGATCAGACCGTTCACCAGTGACAATCAGCGTTGAGTTGGAGAAGACAAGTTCGGAATTATTAGACCTTCTTCCTTACGCCGATGTTGCATTCGTGTCAAAGGACTTTGCTCGCAGTCGAGGGCATCACAACATGAGTGAAGCCATTCGGAGTATTGCCCAAGATATAAAATCTGGGTAAATAATATTCATCCTTCAACTTTTATTTTTATTTATATTCATTGTATGATATTGTAGGGCAACAATTGTGTGTGCCTGGGGCGACAGGGGAGCCATGGCAAGAACTCGTGACGGTACGATTGTTCAATCTCCAGCTTTTCCCCCTCAAAAAATTGTCGACACGCTAGGAGCTGGAGACACATTTGTAGCAGCAACTATTCACTATCTAAATAAGGTAAAACATCAGAGTGAAAATAATTTAAATAAATCGGCCACGAGTGATCAAGGGAATCAATCAGAGGGGGAAGTAACTAAAAACAAAAATATTGAGAGTCTCCAGTGCAGCAAAACTGCATTTATAGATCAATCAGCTTTGCAATCAGCAATAACTTTTGGCTGTCAGACTGCTGGTATCAAAATAGGGTTCAACGGATACGAGGACTTACGCCGGACAAGTACGAAAATCTGTGGATGAAATCTCTGTTATGGGTGAAAATTGATGTCCTGATTGAATTGTTACCTTTATGTTATCTAAATTCATATATTTTTTGATACAATAAATTTTATAACGTCATTAAAAACCAGAGAATCTCTCCTAATAAAAACCTTACATGTTTGTGCAATCACTTCAAAACACATTAGTAATGCGATTTATTTATGTACAACAAGAAATATTTAAATATTTAACATTCAATAGGCAAGAAATACATATGCAAAATGGGTTTCTCAAGTAAAAATTTATGAATCACAATGTTTTTATGAAAATAGTTTTGATTTTTATGGACTTTATGTGTCGGCTTCAACACCGCTGTCCAAAAATGCTTTGACGTAGCCCCGCACTTTCTCAGGGAAATTCCTGACGAAATAGAAATATGTCTCAAGTTATTTATTATTAATAAATGAAAAGAGACGCCTCGTCCGATTAAAAACGAGACAAGACGAAGTACTCAGTCTTTTCTGATGGTAATATCACTCAAATGAATTAATTTTAATTATTAAAAAAAAATTAAACGAGTAAATCACCTCAGAGTTATGTTAACTGCCAGCCAATGTCTTGGAATCGATGCCTCCCTGTAGTTTCGCCGTTGGGCAGTCACAATATGCGCAGCAGCTTCCTTTGGTGGGACCATAGCCATCAAGTTTGGAAACCTGAATGGTTAAATAATTGAAAAAAGCATTCGATAAGGTTGAAAGTTCAATAAGATCATTTTTTCAACTAAAAACCCGTAGCAGTCTCCCCTTAAAGAATTTTCATTAAAAAATGCATACTCATTACCTGATCTTTGGTTTTTTGCACAATCCTGTGTCAACCATGTACGGATAAATGGTGGTAAATCTGACATTGGAACCTTGACTCCCCGTTGCTGTAGAAATTTCATCATTGAGTGCCTCCATCATGCCTATAAAAAACACCCTTTGAATATCAAACTTAATTGGCTAGTCATCAAGAATGAATGGATGTGGCTGACCGCTGACAGCGAATTTACTGGCGCAGTAAGGAACCAGATTGGCGATGCCTAAAATACCAGCCATCGAGGACAAGGCCACAACGTGACCGTGATTATTGGTGATCATCGTGGGAAGGAACGCCTGCAGCATCTGTTTATATACCAGTACAATAGAAAGTTAAATGAACTCATGGGCATTCAGTCTGGCGAGACATAATAAAATGAGTGAAAGTTTGCTATTTATTTTACCCAGAAGTGCGCCATCACGTTTACGTCGATTATCTTGTGGATGTCTTCGGGGGTGTGATCCAAAAATGGTTTACAGGGCATTATACCTGCATTGTTGACGAGAATTGTGACATTTCCAACTTCTGCCTTCACTAGATCAGCTACTTTGAATACTTCTTCGCGATTGGTCACGTCACATCTGTAATTGTTTTTGTTTTCAATGAAAAAATGTCTCCATGTGCAATTTCCCACTTATCAGTGGTATCGAGTAAAGAGATGGAGTTTTCGCAGATAATTATGATGCATCATCGCAGGACGTACTTATAGCCGTAGGCCTTGGTGGCGCCCAATTTCATGACTTCATCGACGGTTTCTTTATTCCCCTGGGGATTCAGGTCCCAGCAGACGACTGTTCCACCTAGAGACGCATATTTCAGTGCTAATTCACGTCCTATTCCATGACCAGCGCCAGTAATCTGTATGAACGAAATAGCCTCAGTACGAGAATAAACTCCCCACTATTAATTATGCGGCCATAGTTTGATTTTGTTGCCGAGGAAAGTGAGAGCTGCAATGAAGGTCTCGCCATGCACTTTGGTATTTGTCTTGAATTCTAATAATTTCAAAGAATTGATTCTACAATAATATAAACATCTCTAGATCATTCAATATTTATGAAATTCAAGTAGGCGTAATTTTTTTATTTCACGCGGGACTCGAGTTTCTCTATTTCTCATCATATATATGATTACATTATTGAAAACTACTCATTACTTCAGCAATAAAATTTACAGTGGAGAACTTCTCTTCCAGCGCAGCAACTCGCGAGCATTGAATTTCGCAATAAATTCATTTTTAGCCTTCGTAAACATCTAAATTCGTACCAGAACTATTTCTCCAGCCACACTCTTCTCCTTCACCGGTACAAACAGCCGGTAGGCACTGTCCAATACGCTGAAGAATGCTTTGATAAATAGCAGACACACATCTGCTAAAATTAGCACACCGCAATATGCGTTTACCATGATTAATTAATTTGCTATCTGAAATCAGAAGAAGCACTTGAATACTCCGATACTGAAATGCGACGATAAAAATTCGCAAAATCACTGATGCAATTTCGGTGGTGTAAATTTATCGCTCCAATTCTTTCATTCGTCAAGAAGGGTATAGCTGGCACTTTTGCAAGTTTATAAGTGCTTCGTAATGTCTTTAATATCGATCGGTACGTAAACGCGGACAAAAAGCCGCGCTCATCAGTATCACTACTAAAAAATCTGTAGCGAAGCGGTCAACCAGGTTAAATCGAAAAAACCAATTTTTCAGAAGAGCTGAAAAACGTATTACGTACGCTCCATTCAAATTTTTTTAAAACCGATTGAAGAATTTGATTTTATCTTGAACAGACCTTTCGTGTCAATAGTCAAATTCATGACAAACCATTCTATCTCTATTCTCATCGACCCTGCTTGAAATTTGTTCCACTATTGATGAGCTAAGTTGACTTATCTTTTTTTGCCATAACGGGACGATTAAGCTATGTCGACATAAACCAGTTTTTTTCAAATTATGTAAATTGAAAAAAAAGGTAGATAAGTTGCTTTTCTATATTTTTTCTATTTACAACAATGAATTCATCATCAGAGATCGAAATATCTGGATCAGTTGGGGATCTGTTATCAGTGGTACGGTTCGCGTAAAATCCACACTCAAATCCACTACTCAAGTGATGGCACATATTTCAAAATATTTGACAACTCCCCAACTCGGAAGCTAAGTCGACTTAGCTTTTTTTTCAAAAAATATCTTTCGAGTTAAATCGACATAGCTTTATGGACATTGATTGAGTTCAGTTATACGAGAGTTAACTCATTTTTTTTATCACTAAAAAGGTTTTAAATATTGTTTTTTTACTCGAATGCTCTCTGCAGCAGATGCGTTATACTTTGGAGTACCTCGACGTGAAAAACCCATTTTTGAAAAAAAATTGACTTAACCTGGCTAACCACTTTACTACAGAAATAAATTATTAACTTAACTCAATTACAGTAACATAAAAATCTCCCGTTTCACTTTTCACGAATGCTTATTTTCCAAATCCCATTTCAAATTTTATCCTGAAATCTCCGGAGGATTTGATAGTTTATGAGTAATAGTTATAACCTTCAGCCATTGATAACAATTTTCACCAATTCAGCGAGTGAGTGTCCAATTACGTGCATCCACATCGCTAATTACGAAAGCTCTTTTACTTACGTTCTGCTGTTGTAGCGGAAATGCACTCAGGCCATTGAGTGAAATTTCTCAAAATGCCGTATCTTTAAGTTTCGATTTCTTTTGATAAAATACAGATATATTTCCGCAATGAGGGCTGCAATTGAGAATGAAAGTTAGGAATAACCAACGGTTACTGACGCATTCGAGTTCGAACCGCTGTTGTCAATGCACCAACGCTGACTGAAGCTATACTTAACTTATGAGCTATGGCAAGCCACAACATCCACTTCCACTCGATTCATTACTATGCAGGGAGAAGTGATAAAATAGAAATTTCAGAGATAGATTAGGAAAAGATGCTCATGGCGAAATTTTCCCCGTTTCCTCTAATTTCCACAATAATCAAAATGAGATTGGCAGTCATGATGCAACGGGACCGCAATACAAATAGATAAGTCAATGATAGCATTATCAGCGAGCTATTGTCATCGTCCAAGTCCACTGGCAATACAGGAAAGTGTAAAAGTAATACCAGGGGAAAGAATATTCCACTGTCGTTGTCAATGGGTCTTTATCCAATCGAGAGTGTCATGATCCCTGAATCCCCTCTAAATGATATCTCACCGATGTAATAATTCAATAATCACTCGTAAGAAGTCCCTCATTCCGATTCTGTAGCCTTAATCGAATCATCTAACGGGTTTTGCAATTGATTATCTCTTCGTACTTTCCCCGAGGTGCTCCTCCCTTTCTCCCTGGATATACTTGTTTTTAAGCACACCCGAGAGAGATTGAATCACTTTCTTCTGGTCGTATCGAGTGCGAATTCAAATTGAAAGTCATATTTATATAGGTCTTAATATCTGCAGCTTTTCCGGAGGTATCGATAAATATGTCCACACCCTTTTACGAAATCCATTGATTAATACTATTTTTTTTCAAGTAATTTACATTATGGAATGTCATATAGCCTTTTTTAGATACAAATACAACTATTTTTCATAAGTTATCTTGATGAATAATAAATTGTGGATTGAAAATAGCGTGGCTCAATGCATTTGAAATTCAAAAGTTTACCGCTATTTTCTGCCATTGAGGGCGCAGCCGCTTTAAAAATGGCCAATCCCGTCAACACCTGCCACCCCTGGCACGTGAATTATTGACCCTAACCTGTCAATAAAACAAACACTCAGGTGTCAGTGCCCCCGTCCCCATCCCCCATGCTCCAATAATTTCCCGAAAAAGAAATAGCTGAATCCTGAAAAATGTGTAAAGGTGAGCCGGTGGATTCTCACAAATTAGTGAACTACCTAGCCGAATTGCGTGTTAAAAAAAAAACGGGTGATCTCGATGACGAGAATAGTCTCAACCTCCAGGAGACCAGATGGAGAAATCTCCTGGATTACGATTTTATTTCTTCATGTATTCAAAACTTCAACGAAGACGTTCGTCTGGAGGTGCTGGGGCTTCTGGTCGAGTCCAAAAAAAGTACTCTAGTCTTCGACAACAGAGAATTCGAATTTATCCTGGAATTTATGTCATACAATCTGGGGGAGAGGCTGGAGTTCATTCCACTGATAAAAAAGTCCTTTAAACGAATGAAAGAAAGTCTTGGAGTGCTGAAGAGACATAAAACTCAGATCGATAGGATCGAGTCATGCAGGCATGAAGTACGTGACAATCTCCAATTATTCGAGCAATTAAAGAGGGAGTACGAGGAACTGGCAACTTGTTCATTAACCTCGATCAGTTATTACCGTGAATTTTTTTCTAAAACCCGGGAGATCTGCCTGAATGGTATCTGCCCAGGTTCCACCCACACCAGAAAGAAGAACAGCTTGAGAATCCTCCAGTTACAAGATGAATTCCTGTCCCTTGAGTTCAAAGAATCCCCTTGGACACAAGATCAAGCTGACAAGCTGCTCCAATGTCTGCTATTGGACACCTACGAGACCAACAAAGAGGTGTCATTCAGGATAATATCAAACATCAGCCCTTGCACTTTGAAATTAGATGATGAGGAACGAGTCAATGAGATAATAAACGTTGCATTGAGATTAGGGAACAGTATACGACCAATTGACAGCATAACAGCTGGTTATATGTTTAAAGTATCTCTCTTATCACCTGTGATCAAGAATGTGTTATTAAAATACACGAGAATTGATACAGCACCCAGTGAAGCTGATGATGTGACTCTGTGGCTGATTATCTTGATAATTGAACAGTTGAGAGAGCCAGCAAGACTGGCTTATGAGAATATAATCATAGCTGCTGCCAAGCATTCCCTCTACGGTTATTTATTCTGTATTAAATTACTGCTATCCACCTGTAATCTCATGAACAAGCGCGATCATTCACTCTGGCGGCAAATTGTTGAGGATTTAATCAATTTGTGTTTAAGTTTGAATAACTCAGTGTCGCAAATTGTAAATAACTCATCCCCTGAGGGTCATTTTCCTATGGACCTCGATAGCAAACACTTGAATGGAGATCTTGATGACACGGAGATCTCTGTAACACCTCAGATGGTATTGTTGTGCTCTTGGAGAACTGTCAAGGAAGTCAGTCTATTATTCGGATATCTCGCTGAGAAATCTCCGATCGAGGGTGAGGGAACACTTGGGCTTCTGTCCAAGAGGCAGATCGTGGAGATTGGAGATCACTTGGTGACTCTTCTCTGCGAGACTAAGCATCGGGGGGCTTTTGAACAGGCTCATGTGGGTTTTGAGCAGCTCTGCAGGAGGCTGTGGAGAGCTGAGGGGGAGGGACTCAATCAATTGCCCAAATTGTGGCTCTATCAGGTCTTGCTGGATATCACTGGATTGTCTCCGGGAAACTCCAAACTGTGCGCTACCAGGAGAAGTGCTGGAGTGCCCTTCATGGTTCAGGTATGCAACAAATAATTTTTTCGATATGTCTTATAAGCGTATTATTTAATTTGCTCAATTCCAGGCGCTGATCGCTTCAGCTCCATCGGTCTCTAAAAAATCAGATGCCACGGTATTCCATTCTGTGATGAGAATTCTCTTAGGCCTGACTCAATTTACAGAAGAATCTCAATTATCTAGTGCGAAAGATCTCCTAGAGAGTGAGATGTTCTTCGACAACGTGCGAGGTACATCAGCATTGAGCGCCTCAACAATTCACTCGGTCACAATGACGGAGGTAAAAACCCACGCATTAAATATCCTCAGGGCCTTATTCAAACATGCCCAACTAGGGGACTTAACCCGGGTTTATGCAGCCGAGGGTTTGATCGCAGCGATCAAAAGCTATGACGAGAAAACCTGGGCAGAGCGTAATGCAGCAACACTCCTCTACAGTTCCCTGATAACCCGAATCTTCGGGGTCCAGAGGACTAAAGATCACGTGAATCTGACAGTTCACAATAAAATGACTGGACGAATTTTTTTCGAAAAATATGCAAAGCTTCTACCATTCATGCTCGGAGAGTTGAAAGCATTTATCGAAGCGAGTGATGACCTGATTAAACCCAGTGTACAATCGATTCTCCTCCTTTTGTCTCGACTCTACATCAGCTACAATTCCGATAGTGGCGATGTCAATTGGCGAATCGATGAATTCGTGTCTCTAGTCTCTGGGTGTGCTAAAAGTCGAGTTTACAATACTCGTGAACTAGCTGGGAGGGCATTGGTGCCTCTATTGACTGGGAAAACAGTGGGTGCCTTCGTCAATAGTTTGTTCGAGGCGATAATCAATAGACCCGAGGAGAGTGTCAATTTGAATCTGATGCACGGGTACATGCTGCAAATTCTCGAGATCACGAGGAGTTCTTTATTGACAGCCCCTGAGGCACCTAGACTGGGGGTTCAGGCTTTTATCAGAGGATCTGAGTGGATTCTCCGGCATTTAGAGGTCGATAATGATAAACCAGCTGCCTTTCCCTTAGCAACAGCACTCGTTAATGTCTTCGCTGAACTACTGAAAGCCGATAATTTAATTGAGAGTCCGGTCGTCTTTGATGGGGTTCTGAGACGATTATTAGGACACATTAGGGTGGTAAATGCTCTCAAAAGTCGCCCTGGGCGAGAGGTTTATGAGACTGCTGCTGCTGGTTTTCTCATTACTCTACTAGATTTGAAATTAGAGGGGTATAGGAGGTCACTTGAATATGAATACTTGAACAGCTGGAAATCAATGCTATCGCATGCTAATTACCAAGTTCGAATTATAGCCTGGCGCAGTGTTCTCAGGGCGGTGCAGGAAACCTCCAGTTTAGAATTTTGCACGTGTGCAATTGAACTCGCTCTAGAGGGTGTAAAAAACGAAAGAAGGGATCTGGATTTAGAAAGTGTTATCTATGAATTTTTGTATGGATTTTTTATCAATAGGGAAAGGGGCGTTGAAGGGTTTTCTATCAGTGATAGCAGTGTTTTTGTAATTTGTGAATCCATATTGAATACTCTTGGAGGGGAAATATCTCAGGATAATGCAAGTTTCTTTAGACTCTTGGGGACAACTTTTGGATTCATTAAAAATTGTGGGAGGGCCTCTCCGTTAACTCTTGATATTGCAAATACAATGTATGATGGATTTCGTGAGCACTCGTGGATGGGCTCAGCTGGAAACGATTGCAGAATCGCTATAGCTCAAGTTATTCATGATATTAGCGCTGATAGCTGTGAAAAGGGGAGAAAATGGATTAATTGTGGTAAGAGAAATTGATGTGCGCTTGGGTGATTTTACCACGTCGGAAATGACTCTTTAATTGGGCAATTGTTTTGGTTTTATTTTAGGAAATACTTTAGACTGGTGGACTACTTTACTTAATTTATTGGTCGATGATAACAGCCGAGTGCGGAAGTTGGCGGCGATTGCTCTATCGAAAGTACATCCGGAGTCCGAGCCGAAGTGCGACTCGCACTCTTTGAAATTATTCTTTGATAAATTTTCCTCCATCTTGAGGGATCAAGGGAGTGTGCGTTTTGCTGCTTATTTTGTTTGGAGTTTAGCACTGGCCGAGGGAGACTACGAAATGGATGACAGCGACGTAAGAGTTTTTCCCGAAATTGCAGAAATAAATTCCGTTTTCCATCCTACAGCTATTTAAAAACTATACGCATTTAAATTAATTTATATATAGCATAATTCAAATATTTACAATATAACTTGCCGGAATAAATCGGTGAATTCTCATCTCTCATTCTACCGATTTTTTTGTTGAGGAATTTTCCTGAGATCAATTCATCACTTCTTATTGCATATTTTCATTGAAATTAAAATTTTACTTCACACTCCGGTAATCATGCTGTACTTTCGAACGTTAAACACGCAGTGGGTATAGAAATAATTGGAGCAGTAATGAATTTGAAAAAGTGGATGAATTCAAAATAATTGAATAGATGAATGAATAAGGCTAACGACGACACTCTTTCCAATTGCAGGTATTCAACAAATGCTACAATTACGAGTGCTTCGAGCCCTTGCGCATATCGAGTCTCTGCGAAGAATCCCTGAATACCCTATCGGATCATTACGATATTCATGCTCCATTTCCGGTTGAGGTACAGACGTGGCTGATCCACAGATTGAATATAGAGCCCTCAGACTGCCAAGACGCCCAAGCCCTCATTACGTCCTATCGAAATCGCCTGCCTCCTCTCACCAACAAACTAGATGATATATTGGATCCCACGTGTAACGACAAATTGCTGCAATCATTAGCATTTGAAAAGTTTCCCCACCTAGAGAATCCCCACTACCACGAAACGACATACAATGGCAACTGAATCAATTCATTCCAACAGCGACAAAACAATTCCTTATTTCCATTTTAAAAAATGAAGACGAGCAATCGAAGAAAGTGTTTTCCAATAAAGGAGAGAGAATCCAAAAAAATTTCTCACGCCTATGAATAAATGCACGAGCAGTATCATAATACCTACGTCTCAATTGTACTGGGAATTGTTCTTTTATGGATCTTTTTATGACCCACCCATTACACTTTTGTTTCAATTTTTTTTTTCCACCTTCGACTAAAGGAAAGTCGACCAATTTGTCGGTTCATGTGTATTACACCGAAAACTGTGTACACCCTCTACCTCGAACTTCTCCAGGTCCCTCTTCACCGTTTATACTATGGGAAACGATTTGGCTCATTACTATTCAAGAGCAATCGTTGTAGAAGTGGCCCCACGATTACGGCGCTTGGCCAATTCGGATAAATAGATAAAGCATTCTCTGCCCATGATTTCCAGAGTGTACGTGAACTCATGAATAATGAATTGACAATTGGGGTTTGGGTCTATTCTTGCGCATCCGACAAACCGGTGCAACAATGCATCATGTGATTTACTGGATTTGCATGAGCTTGACCGTTTCCTGGTGCTTCTAGAAATGTCACCGTATTGAGCATTGGGATTACAGTAAAATAGAGTAAATAAATATGTTAATTTAATACATGGAAAAAAATTCGACCGACTTAATGTGACCAACATCGTAATGGCCGGGATCGATTCGGTCTTCCCAAATGCTCATTCGTTAATAATTAATAAACGCGTATTTTGAGGAACCAATTTGACCCCCCATTCACTCATGTGAACCATTTGGTAATAATTAATGAACCTCGTTAGCAATATATGAAACGTTCTGTCGACGGGTGGAAAAAACAGTGGAAGAAAAATTACAGGAGATTACTCAGCCCTTATTCTCGGAAATATATCTCTCAAGATGGGAATGAAAAAAAGATAAAGACCTGATCTATTCCGTTTTTTCAATTATTTTTCAAATAAAAAAAGGCAGTATCGGAGCCGTGACAGTTGACATATTTTTCATCACGCCTTCGCTTCGTTCCTCCCACGTCAGTAACACTCGTATCGAAACATGCCATTTCGTTTTTCTTCCGAATAGAAACATTCCATTTGTTTGATTTTCACTTGTGTTAGACATAGCCATTTATTTATTTATTTAAATGTAAATATATGAATGCATGTTTGATAGATTTGTGCGGCGGATATCTTCAGCGCTGAATGGATTTCGAAAGAATAGTTCACCTCTGGGGAGAGATTCCGCGTTTTTATATCGACATAAACCCGTAATTTTCCACCAATGAAGGGCTGACATTCATAATGCTCAACAAGGATTGGTTGCAAAATCACATTTTATGTCGACATAAACCGAGTAAAATCTCTCTTCACGATATTTCAACATGTCATCAAAATGAAGCACCAATCACCTCGACATCGGCAGCATAAAGTTGACAATTTCTTCATTTCAAATTCCCAAATGGTTCCCAATTAAAAAAGTATAATTCAGTTAACATCCACATGCCTCAATGACGATAACGTCATTTTTTCCCCGTATACAGTATATCCAAGACTATCACAAAAATGATTAATCCCAATACCCGGCCGCCAGTCCATTCATGCCCACATTTCCCAGCCTCCCACATCTGACATTTCCATAATTCCAGAGAAAAAAAAAATAATTTCATCGTTGTAAGGAGGTCACGAGCGTTGTTTTCCCCCTCAATACTTTGAAATTGTCAGCGCGAGGGTTTTTTTTTTCACAATGAAAATGAGGGTGAACCCCGAAGCGAAATAGGACAAAAGTGTAAAAGCTTTGGCACGGAATTAAAAGTTGTCGAGGCACTTGACAACTCCTCGAAAGCATGGCTAAATGGAGGCCAAAGGGGTTGAAAAGAAAAATGGGTTAAAAATATCCAATAAAGGGGTGAAAAAAACCAGGTGAATTTAGAAATGAGGTGAAGCTGTCCCCTGAGGTCCATCGACATGGTCAGGTGAATAATTCATAATCCCAGAGCGTGCAGGAGAACAGCTCAGAAAATTGGTCAAAATGACAAAGAAATTACCCGTACAATAATATTCAAGATATATTTAAAATATATATCAAAATCCACACATAAATTTCCCACACAATTATTCCTCTACATATATTGCCCAACATATATCTGAGATATTCCAATTTTGGCCGAGATATATCCGCGCACAATTGATATACATTCATATGCATTCATATATGTGCTTGAATATTGATATATTGGAAATACATATAATGTATTTCCAATTTGACTAATATCATTCGATAACTTATGTACTCTTAGGTTGTATGAACATATATATGCATTAATTGTCTTTACCGTGCTACTGTGAATGATTTTCCGAATGAATAAAGCCAAATAACTGATTATTTTTCATTTCTTGGATATTTTTGATGTACAGGGGAGAGGAACGAATGTTGCTCCACCCGTTATATAGAGGAAAATGGCGGACTTTGTATTTGTGGTGGAGTGATCTGTTGGTCTGAGGAGGCGCTTCAGTCGAGGCTCACCGGCCGACTCGTAACTCGTTGCATATTTTCGTCTCGTGTTAAATAAATCTCCACGACTCGTGGTTCACCCAGCCGCGACAAAATAATCCACACCAATTGACTCATTGAATAACCCGTATTACGTGTAAATTGCATCAACAGATTGACAATCATCGCCTACCATACAGCCCCGACTTGACAGTTTATTATCATTTTTTTTTAACGGACAATATTGCCAGAAATATGTCGTTTTTTTCCTCTTTAAGTGGATGAAATAAAAAAAAAACAACGAATGGGAGCAACGATCGTGTGTGTAATACCAGGCATGGAGTGGACTCAGTGTTGTAGTGATAGTTTTAAATTATTTGGAGCTCTTGTCACACTTCCTGAATTTACAGGGTAAGTCTCAACGAGTGTTGACATTTTAATGTATCACTATTCTCGTGGAGGCAGTGCGTTGACTCGTAATTTGTTCGAGGGAGAACACATGTGGGGGGTGATTTTTTTCTATGATGAATTTACTTGTCAGATTAATACACCTATGATCTAATCCAGCATCTCCAGTGAACTCCCATGACCCACATACTGGATAAACTGTCAGCCGTCTAATTATTTTGGTTTTTAAAATTTTCTACAGACGTATTGCCATCCTCCACCACCGACCTAGCCTTTTTCCATGGTACACAAGTGTTTCTGTCTACATCCTACATGTATTTTGTTTTCTCCTCTTCTTTACAAGACACTCGTTTGTATCTCACACTCAACGTCAGGTGGGAGATTTTTTTTTGCTCGTTCCCCTCGTTTCCTCATTTACTTGGATGAGACTCGAGACCCATTGGGGTTTGCAATACCCAAGGACCAGAAGCTTCAGAACAAGTTTGAAAAGTAGAATTGCCAGTAAGTAGTAGTTTGACGTGGTTTTCTATCCCAATGTGCCATGTATGTGCATGGGAAAACGTTACCCTCTCCTTATTTTTTCCAAATGAAGTATGTGGATATTGCTTTACAGCAATTTTCGTAATTACAACCGAAGGATTTTCTTCATTGGTGTCAGGAGCTGGCAGTTCTATCTATTTATTTTTCCTCTTATTTCGTGTCGCAACTGTTGCATGAGACGCTTTTCTCCTTCCCCTCTGTCTCCTCAGCTCTCCAGTCCCTCTCTTTTTTTTTCTCTCTTTTTTCTTGTCTTGATGTATCAACTGTGGACAGGCCAGTAGACCTACCACCTATGCTGGAGTAATTTGTGGCCCTGAGACGTGAACGTTGTGCGTTGGTGTTGTAGACACTTCTTACGATGGTATTGACGTAATCGATTTGTTCAGTTCTCAATCAACGTGCAATGTAACCATGCGGCAATTGTACAGATCCAGCTGTACATTTGAGTTATCTGCTTGTTACTGATGTACTGTAATATATAGGTAATTACGCTATTGCTTAATTGCCTGGGGGTCCGCTTTATTTTATCTGGTTTCAATCGATGGAGTTCTTAGCGTTTTCAGATGGGGAGAAGTTGGAAGAATGAAATATTAATGCCACTTCAGTCTTCCAATGTCGAGAGGCTCGTTCAACTCTCATACACAAAGTTATTTAAATACTTGGTGAAATCTTCTTTATTCAACTTTTGACTTTTTGATGCTTCATGAAGCAATGAACTCAATTAAAATCCGTTTATTCCTGAGTTTCCACACCAATGCCTTGAGCTCTTGAAATCAGATGACAATCCATCCTAAATCCAGTTATTTTCATGCATCGTGAAGTCGTGAAATTTCCATTAGAATAATTCAGGATGAAATACGCATGACGGTTGACATGATCCTCCGGCAATCACTGAAAATCGTGGGATTTTCCCGGGGTCAGATTGCCGACATTCGGGTAAAAAAGTAAAACCTCGAGGAAGCTGAAATACGAAAATTTCAACATTTTCCCTCAGTATATATTTCCGCGAATATGTGGAAAAGGCTTTACATACAAGGCATTCCCTCGAATAAATAATCCCTCCTCCCCACACAGGTATAGGTAACACACGTTGGGGATAGAATGTGTCGTACCATCGGGAGACATAAATTTTACGTAAAATCGACTGGAAGAAATGGCATACGCTGGGTCCAGGGAGTGTAGGGATTCTCGACAAATATAAATAATACATATGGGGATGACCAAGATTTCAAAAAGAATCAAAATGTACGGGACAAAAATGGCCCGAGTAAAAATATGTGGTGGTGGTAAAAAATATGAGGAGAAAACTATGAATATCTTTCGATATTGCTATTGTCCAAAGGATGAAATGTTACCTTCACAATGTAATACTGATACGATTGTCTTTTTTATCTCTGTATACGTTACGAATGTTGTTTTTTTTTTTAACACACTATTGTCAACGCAGTCGTAAAGTCAAAGTTCCGTCGTATACTCAGATTAATCTGTCCAGAACGTAGGAAAAAGCTCGGTGAAAGAGTGAGTGTTGGAGAGGCATATCGAGAATGTCGTTCGAAAGTTAATTTAAAATTTATTTATGATCACAGGGAGAAAGAGCCAGGGCCTTATTATGCATGTAAATATGTACGTAGTTGGGTACCAACCATAATGCTCAGTACTAGGGTGCAGAAGTGAGGATGAAAAATGAGAATAAAAAAACGGAAAAAAAAATACAAATAAAAAACTGAAAAGTGCACAGAAATGGGAGTTGGGCTGCCTATGAATACGTAATGTTCGTGGAATTAGAAATTAGAGGGGTGGCAATCGACTTTAACTCAGTACGCTATATTTTTCCTCCCCACAGCCGGAGGTAATTATTAGTGGATTAATTATAGCCAATGGCATTTTGATTCCACAAACGAATCCTCAGTGCCGGTAATTTTCAAATGCTGAGGGAGGGCTCTTGATGCCTGGAATAATCAGAAAATCGATGGGTGCGATGAGGCTTGAACTCCAGCTGAAATAATGCAAATTCAAACGCGACACTTGGCATTGATAATATCAAGGATCATAAATCAGCTGATTAATAGTACAAACTTGGTAGTCACCGAGCGTGAGATTAGGCCTCACTCGTCCTACCTCGCAAGAGGAACACTTCTGACCTTGATAATATATTTCCTGTTACGTCATTGTGAAGTTAACAACATGGGTGGCATGGAATGGATCGAATTACTGGTTCTCCAGGTATTTTAATTAGCAACCGGTGGCGGCAACTGATTATTATTTTTTTTATTCATTATTCCAACTGGATTCGATAATTTGGCTCCTCTGGGACTCAACCCCCTGGCTGTTGTTGATTGTGACAGGTTTAATCTCTTCATTAATTCCATTATTTTATTTATATTTCGAACGACCAAATAGTCTCATTGAGTAATAACTGGATCAAATTACTTGGCCGTTGTCTCTCTCGCTGGTGGAACTGGCAGGGATCCAATAAGTCAAGATACAGTGTCGTGCATCCACCGGCAAACTATTCCCATAATCAACTGTTCGTGGAATAAATCTCCCTCATCCGCCGAAAATTTCACCGGTTTCCAAGCGATTAATGTTAGCAAGTTTATTTGCTATGGCGGTACAAACAAGAAACATGCAATCCTAGTCCACCTATGCTATCCTAAAGTCTAGCCGTTAATTTCCTGTCAATTTCCTTGCGCACCGGCGCCAGGATTTTAACATCACTGGACGTGATGAAAAGCCCATATATGTAGCTCAGTCTGACTGAGGAATAACTCAGTTTGACGCCGTGTTTCGAACCTGGTGTATATCGTCTCGATTTATCACGGCTTTCGCTCAACAGAGAAATGAACTTTCCCCCGTCGTATCTTTGATTTTGATTCGTCAAGTGGAAAATTTATCTAGTTCGTTCAAACAGTGTAAAATCGTGAGCGGAGATGAATCAGAAAAGCTGATAATAATCCAGGAATAAATAAAAAATCCACTGAATAAATCGTAGATTCTCGGGTTTTTCAGCAGAGAGAGTCAGAAACTTCAAACATTTTCCTGGGATAGAACGGATTGAGATGTTAAGTCGGGTAATAAATTTATCTCAATACTTGGTGAAACATTATGAATTCAGCCTTGAACTTTTTCATGCTTCATAAAGCGATGGAGGCAATTAAAATCCATTTAACTCGCAGAGAGGTTTAATGTTGAAAAGTGCCACAGGTCAACTCACTGTATTTTAACAATTTCTCCGGGTTTAATTTTCAAACTCATTTGCCTCAATTTTCGATGGGATTCGAGTCCATTTCTCAGAACGATTTCTTCTTAATCCAGGGCGACTCATCTAGACAACGTCCCTCGAACAAATGCAATGTTTCCGCTTTAATGCACTGCAATATTCACGTCCTAAAAAGCATATTTATTGATTTGAAGTTTCAGGTCGCAACGGTGTGCCTATATCGACGAGAATGGCTGGTTGGTAGAGCGTCCAATCTGAATCCCAGCAATATCTCCGAGGAAAATGGGGTCGACCCAGCGTAAATCCGCAATAAGGGCATCAGTATTGAGGATTCTGACGGGAGCATCAGTCGATACCCCGTGACTCATCAAACTCATCTCTTCCAAATCCCAGCGCTTCCCTCAATGAGTAAACTTCGATAACTCCCAAAAGAATGCCATCTACACTACTGGGAGGGTGATGGATAATAGACGCATTTCGCCGATTGGACGCCGCCTGGCCAGTGCGCTGGACCCAGTAGCCCGTTTCACAGCGGATTTTAGCTCACTTTCAGCGCCATGCAGCCCACAACTGGGAATGTCCTCCCGGAATCCAACGGGCGAGTCCTTATCAGCCCAAGAGAGCCCTCGATTATTACCAAGACATCGAGGTGGATGTCCAAGACAACCTCCTGTACCACCACCAAGACCACAACGCAACGATTCACCAGTTCACACCCGAGGTTTGACCTCAACATACGCCAATATACCATGTGACAATTCTCACATCAGCCGACGGGACAAGCCCTTCACAGACAGTGTGAAAAGTAATATCGGTTACGTAGAGCTCAGGGACAAAGGTGTCAATGATAAAGGAAACAATTGCCGGGGACCAGTGCCATTCACATTCACTTCGGACTCAAGTGGTAGAGTTGAATACGCTGACAAGAGATTTTATGCACCAAGAGCTGATGATTTCACGGCCTACGCTAATTTTGATAATGAGACCCATTCAGAGAGCTCATCACCAATATTCGATGCTGGACAGTCGACAATGGTGTCCAATGTCGACAAAATACTCTCATCATTTACCAGCAACAAACAGCCATTTCGTAGGGGCTCAATCGAGCGTGACATGACATACGCCTCGTCGTTATCAGCTGCAACATCTACCAGCGACGACCAGAGGGAGCGTTTTGACCGTCCAACTGCGTACTCCTCATCCAAGAGCTTTGACGCCGGTTACTCAGCCACAGTTGAGGAGCTCAATTGGCAAGAGAGGTGTCTCGAGCTTCAGCTTGAATTACATCGGAGCAGGAGCCAAGCTACGAGAGTACGAGATATGCTCAGGGAAAAGGTGAGTGCTCACTATTGCCACTCTAAAAGGTGATCGTTAAAAAAAATGACTCATGAATGACTCTCTGGTGGAGTTAGAGTGAAGGTTCAACGAATGGTGATGAGTGCTTAAATGCTCATCTACGGTCTACGATCTTAATTTAGTCAACCCGCCCGTTACCCAGGGGGAGGGAAGGGAAAAAAGGTAATTTGAGCGCTATCGCATTTCCTGGCTCTTCCAATGTTTTTTAAAACACTTTCCAGCTATCTCGGGGGTAAGTACTCCAGCCCCTTTTTCCCTGATAAGCTTTTCAGCCTTTTCTCCATTTTTCTTGTTTTGAGTTGGATCGTTTTTTTTTTTACCTTTTTTCCCCTCACTTCTCCCTCTGTCGTTCCTTCTACTCGGCAACTTCCCGTGGGGAGCTATCACTCGGATATTCGATCCGTGACAATTCCATGGACGGTAGCGCTCTGATCCCTGGCCCGGACCCGGATTGCCACGCGCCCTCTCATCCCCTTTTGGCTGACCAAATGTCTGGTGATTCTCTTTTCCTCCGGTTATCCCTCTTGGCTATTGTATGTCCTCGTAAAGGGTTTGGACGAGGTATGATCGGCTGTACATAAAAAAATTCTTCCTTCATTATATGCAACATCACGCGCAGACGACAGTTAATGCCTCTGCGGCAGATAAAGCACGTGCTTCTCACAAATACGCTCCCATAATTTTTCCATTGACTCGGGGAATTTATTAAGAGTGGGGGGAGGGGTGATATGTTTCAGGGGGATTTTGGTTCACGTATTTTATTATTTTTGGGTGGAACCATGCACTTGAGGTTGACTTTAAGCTCCAAATTCAGGTTAATCTCCTTCAATTTTTCTATTTCATCACTGAGGAATGGCACTTTGATGAAGAGAAATTATCGATTTTATCACCCCATCCTCTCTGTCTGGAGAAATTGTGACATGGAGCGTTGGAAGTGGTGTAATTAAAAATTTAAAAATTCCGAAAAATTTCAGCTCTAACTTTAATTTTTGGGACATTAGATAAATTGACATCGTTAAATGAAGTTTTCCAGCTGTAGTTGGCAATTTAATTAGCCAAGACGTTTTTTTGTCCCGAATTCAAGAACAATTTGTCGAATTTACAACTCGTTTTTATCAACAAATGGTGTGTGCATCTATCAAGTACAAGGAATAACCAAGTAAATCCGTCTTTTTGCGGTTGTGAGCCGGTGCCGTTGAATATCGCCTTAATCTTCGTTAAAAATTCTAATTTGCAAGTCGGGAGTGTGTCGAGTCCCACCGAGTTCCTACGCAGAGGGTGAAAAAGACGGTTTTACATATTTTAATCCTCATGATGAATAAAACTAAATGAGTTTCATCGCGTACTCGAAATTTTCGTGTTTTTAATTTTCACTTTAATACGTGTTTCCATCGAGCTTAATTAAAAGCGCGAAATATCCGGGGCTGTAATACCCGCGAATGGCGCCTTAATTAACGCCATCGAGGAAGTAATGTATTTTGAGTATCAATTTTCCGAGCGTACGTAGGATATTTGGATTTAAGTACACACCCATTGGTATCATTAATACTGAGAGGCATGAGGAAGGACCAGCGAATAGACTGAAAAGCTCATGGGAGTCATATCATTCGGTCACCCGTTACATTACCGTGAAATATCAGCTATTATCTTGATTTGTACGTACCAAGTGTGTCCCTTACCGCTCCGACGGTTGCTGTGGCGGGGGACCCCTTAAGTTATCATTTCTATTACGATCTGTATTATGTTATTTCTTGAGTTGTGGCCCTTCTTCTTCGTCCCACGGACTCATTTCCTCATTCTACACTCGGTGTTGTCATTGCACGATGCATTGCTGAGAATCGGACATCCTGCTGTTTCGAAGATTGATAACTTTAAATTCCATCTTCCATTTTCGTAGCCACTCTGATGGATCAATTCTCATTGAATTAAAGTTGTACATACAAAATTCAGATTTCAAAGATTGACGCCTGGAAGCTAGCGGTTATATATGAAAAACATTTTCTGCGCATTTTGAATTAATTTTCCGTTTTTACACTCAAAGACTCACGCGAAATATGTGCTACTTCAAACTAGAAATTTTGTTCAATTCCTGCTAAGAGAATTCCACTTTCTAGTGCAGCATCGGGATAAAAATCTCTCTCCGTTTAGCTCCAACTGATTAAAAAAAAACTCCCCCGTTTCTAGAAATGGGGTTTTACTGTCAGTATAATGCAAACTCCATTAGCATAATGAATTATTGAATATCCAGATTGAATGGAATTTTGAGGCATTGTCCTGGAGAATCGATAATCCGGTGGCCACACAATGTGGAAGAAAGTTGTCTCCCTCCAGCTTTTCCAAATATCCCCTCGACGTCTCAATCCGATCTTTTATGTTGTGCAGCGAAAAACTTTTGGACGGTTTTGCACAAAAAAAGGCGGTGGTGTCGGGCCAAGACACCCACCCATAGCTCGGATAGAAGAGAACGGTGTAAAAGAGGAGTAGCACGACAATATACTCCATCCTCGGTGGGCGACGAACAACCGGCGAACAACCGGCGCCCCGACGGCTCGGCGTCGTTGAAACTTCCTGCACCAATACAAGATACCCTGCGGCATCACCAAAAATATATGTTGTCACTGCAACGTTAAATGTCAGTGTGTGAGAATTCGTTTTATTGTAATCTCCCCCATTTCACCGGTTCTTTTGGTCATTTTTCCGTCATCCGCATGAAGACTTTCGTCTCGGTGGCGGACAGTTATGAATTGCGCCAGTATGATCTAATTATAATCTGTAATTCTCCAAGTTTTAATGATTATCATGGGCCTGATGGATCAACAAAGCCAACGGATTTATTTCCCCGTGGATAATTACCGAGTGAAGATGTATTTGCAGATGTTTTATGGAGTGAAAACACATTTTCTGTGATTCAGGGCTCACCCAGAAGGAAGGATGTGGCGAGGTATTTTATTATGTGTTTCTTTGTGACCCCATTGCGTCGCATAATGATGATATCTAGTATATTCTGCCATTTCCCCTTGACACAATAAGAAACATACGGAAAAGTTACGCAACCTGGCCGCAAGCGATATGCGTAAATCTCGGAGGCAGATGCTCTTGCAAGAGGGTGTCTTGGTGGAGGTTGTCTTGGTGGAGGGTTGGTTTGACCTAACGTACGATAATGCTCTTGGTCCTGGGTAATGGAGTGATGGATGGGGGATTTGATGGTGGGGGATTGTCCTCTTGGAGTTTGCTTATGTTGCCCTGGGAGACATCACAGGGAATTATTCAAACGCTCAATTTCAATGGTCTGGTTGATGTTTCTGGGAATATCAAACGGCTCGGGTTGAAATTAAAAGGGGAATTGCTTGCTTTTCATTTTCAAACCACAACGTGATGTTTTATCGTGGCCTGTTGATGGATAAACAGCTGGGGCTATGGAAGAATTTCAGTCGTGGAATTAAAGGCGCCTTCAGGCGACAATCGATATCACCCTCCCGAGCACTGGGAGATTCGCCCCAATCGTTATACTACGTTTCACTGAACATTTACGTTTATTTAAAATTCACATTATGTGGAGGGAAAAAGAATTGAAATTTTCCGAGCTCTTGTTCCCCGTGCTGTCGAGTTATGATATTGTATTTCATTTTCGCTGACTGTTTTCATTAGCGAAAACTCCCAAGGATTTTTCATTTTTAATTAGACCTGTGTTTTTGATTGTCCGATAAATTCGTCGAGTTGCGATTATTCATTCATTATATCAAAGTTGAAATTTCTTGCTGTTGAATGGGATCATGTTAAATACTTGGAAATTGTAGACGTAAAGAAAGTAGTAAAGTTTTGGAGGGTCACTGGAGAGAAGGAATGCTGGACTCCGAAGCAAGGGAGGTTGGAGATTTAAAAAGCCATACCGTAACAAATGCGAAATGGCGCAACAAAACTCATTTCGCAAAACACCAGGCGTTTCGCTCGGTTAAATTATTAAACCCTCGTGTCGTATCTTCAGAGCGAGGGGAGCTCTCAGTTCTTTCTCTAGAGATTCGATCAGGGAAATGGCCTGAGGGTAGTTCAAGTGGACAGACAAATGGGTGGTTTGTTAACTAAAATATTCTCGGATTTGAATATCCATTTTTGGTAACAAATAGTTTATTCAATAAATTTACTTCATCAACCCCCAATACACCTTCATCCATTTTCTGACCTGTTCTCCTTAAAAATCAGGCGTAATCCCCTGACACCTGAAGCAGCTCCAGCCTATCATATCGCCCAGTGTTTCGCCACGGCGGCAAGATTAACTGAGATAATTTATCAAAACTCTCGAATCTCAGAAGAATCCAATCTCCCAGATATACGAGCTTAAGCTTCTCCCTTTTGTTCTTCCTCAGCGTCCGATGTGGCTTTTTTTTATCCAAAGCCCCCGAGCTTTTCCACTTTTCCTCAGCAGACCCTTTCACGCTTGGCCGTCGTTTGCCAGGATGCTCCACATTCTATATTCTCACTCTCCAGCTTTCAACGCCATCCTCGTTGTCAAAAGAAAATATACAGACAAGAGAGTATACCAGTCCGTAGAAGTAAAAAAAAAAAAATAGTGCCTGGAATAGGTACTATCCTCCCTTCTGCGCGACCAGCCGCACCAGAGAGTGCTTCGATAAGCAGTCAATATATATCTCAGTCTTCACCTCAACCCCTCAACTCCATAGACTTACTCTTTTACCTCTTTTCTTCCAGCATCTTAGTCCCTCTCTACTCTCCTCGTCCACTACCCCATCCTTTGTGCCCTGGACGTGCATCGAAAATACGCTGAGGCTTGCACCACTCACAATTCCATTTCACTTCCACCAAAATGCGTCCTCTTACCCTTGTCTCCTTTATTTATTTGCATCAATCCAGGGATGATATGATGTATATGTCATCTCCAGATCTCTCCATTCTCATGCGCAGAGAGCTCTTCCGTGGAAGGAGCATTCATAAATTCGTTAAGGGTATACAGATCTGCTTTG